TTTGCGAATGAACTCCTAAAATCACTGAATTGTTTTGATTTTCGTTTTGGTTTTATAAGAATACTTGTCGTGCCTCGCGGATTTACTCGCTTCCACTACCTATTGATTACATCCATTTTTACATCTTACTAACATTATAAATGCAAAAGTTTAGATGGATGGACATCCATCTAATGATTGCAAGATGGTATCTCCAGAACAGCTGCACGGATCTTAATGAAATTTGGCATAGACGTAGAACATAATCTGGAAGAACACATAGGCTACTCATTAAGTTTTTTTTTAATTCCATGCTGATGAAGTCGCAGGTAACAGCCAGTCTTACATAAATTTATAATAGTAAAATGCATTATTTAATTAGTAAAATATGAATCATTTTAATACTTAAAGTGCTAAGGATACCTAGTTATTAGATTTAAGATCGCGAAACCTTATTATCCTGTTAGCTGTCTACAGAACTCCAAAGTGGAAAACTTTGAAAATTTTCCAACTTTTCAAAGTTTCCTTATTAAATTTGGCTTAAGTGTTTAGTTTATCATATTCCACAGACAATGTTGCTAGATAGACATAAACCAAGAGTTGGCAATGTCAAATAGGTTGTTAAAATATTGCGATTTTGAAATATCTTCTAGTCTTTTTCTTTTAGTTGTTCTTTCTTTACAGCACGAAGAAAGCTTTCTTTATACTCTTTTTATATTATTTAATAAGTTAAAATAAATAGAGAAAAAATTGTAAAATTAAAAATTTGAGTGTGATATTTTCCGAGAATTTTTTTTATACTCGGAGCGGTCTCCCGCGACTACGGACGGCAGGATTTAAAAAAGAACTTAATAAGTAGGATATTTGTTCTTTCAGACTTTCATTCTAAATATATACCAAGTTCAGCGAGATCCGTCCAGCCATTCCGGAGATACCTCCAACATCCATCCATCCATGTTAACATTTATAAGAAAGAAGTTAGTCAACGTAAAATCTACTCTCCGTCTATCCCTGATTGAAAAGAACATGGGTACAAAAAATTACCTTTTGTCTTTATTTAATTTTAAAAAGTCTTACGAAATTAGATATGGAATTCCTCATGTTGATGTATATGTGTACATTACAGCTGTAAGTGCGTAAACTACAGGGCTCAACAAACAGCCGGCTACAGCTCGAGTAGTGCCGCAAGTCGCTCGGCTCGCTGCCAACGCCGCCGATATATTGAACTTTTTCATTAAACCTACAAATGCCCCAACTGATATATGGTTGTTGTTCAATTGAAAGAAATATGTCTCTCTTTAGAATTTATTTGAAACAACGTAATGTTAACATGTTATACTAATCGTGGGTTTCTGAGAACCATGTTTAAAACATATTGCTATCTCTGTTATATTAAAGACAGGGATGACGATATGTTTTTTAGAGCAATTTTGACCTTAGAAACAAACTGTGCATCACATGTTAAGATTACGATATGATTTAATTTTGATTTGCTAGATGCGTCGCTAAGTATCTTCTGCTCTTTTATAAAGACGGGTAAAGTACTCTTTACTCTTCTATAAGAATATATTTAAATGTTTTATTCTAGTAACCTACTATATAAGTATTGCCCGCGATTCTGTCCGTTCGGAATTAAAAAAAACATAATTAGTAGTCTATGTGTGCTTCCAGACTTTGTTCAGCCGACGGTGAAATACCTTCAAACAAACATCCATCCATCTGAACCTTCGCATTTATAATAATAGTAAGATTACTTTTTACACAGAAAAAGCAATAACAAAAGATATGTGAAATTGAAATGTTATTAAATAGAAATTAATTTTCTATCCAAACTGATACGTGGCTGCTATCAAATAAAATAGAAATAACCGAAGCGTATTGGAAAATTGAAACACCTGTTAATGACTTAAGATAATTGGAAATCGTTACAGCTGCGATATCAAATAACCTGTTCGAGTTTCCTTCGCCGATGTTCCTGCAATTTAATTGTAGACCGCACGTGATAATATTATTTGTTTAAAGTTAACGAAGTTTTTATATATCGATTACTAGATAAACAAATAATCGATAAAATATTAAAAAGGCTTTCAAATACGGAAATATTAAATCGTATTAATAGAAGATTAATATTTTAAGTAAAAATATAGATCGCTGTCATCCGCAGCTATGTCCGTGTTCGATTAAAAAAAAGTTAATTAGGATTAGGAGCATAGTGTTCTTCCAGGCTATGTTCTACATCTATGCCAAATTTCAACGATATTCATGAAGCCGTTCTGATGATACCTTCTAACAAACATCCAAATATTCGCAATTATAATATTAGTAAGATTATGATGAAAGTATCATTAAACCACGCATTTTTTACGCTCTTTTTATTATATAACAATATTTAAGAGAGAATTTTATGGAAATTCAATTCAGATACGTCGATATCCGTGCTTTTGTATAGGCGATAGATTGCCAACATCATCCGACACGAATATTCAATTTTCTTAAAAGAAAACCTGATAAAAATTTTATGTCTCATCCTGTCTCCATTACATGTTTACTCTATTTACTTCATATTTTGTTTCTCGGTAGCTATAAACTTGTGTTTCATAAAATTTGACGTATTGCAGGCCAATGTCAATGCCAATTATTATGAATTACTAAAGTTATGGAAGCCTGTTTGTAGATATAGAAAATACTTTTAAAAGTTTTAAAACGTTAGAACGCTTCTTTTCAAATGATTTTCCTAGACAAAGGCGTTGAAAACGAGCCTCTTTAAGTCGCAATGATAACATCGCGGATGCCTTCTTAATTAACATTATAACACTTTGATTGATTTATGTGGCGGCCATCACAGATAATGTAGAGGGAAATGGGAACAGAAAATTGTTAAATTGTTTAAGATAGTGAGAAAAAGGATTTGATATTTTTTGAGTTATATTTTTAACAAATCTATCGTCGTACGCCACTTTTATCCATCCAATTAAGAATCCTAATACAAGGGAGGACTAACTAACTGGCTCACCGTGGGTTTTTGAGATCAAAAAATCAGATTAAATCATATTGTTATCTTTGTTTTGTCAAAAATAATAAACAGGGATGATAATATGTTTTATACACATATTTTGTTGTCAGAAACCCACGGTTAACAATCTAAATACGCCTAGACAGAGACTGTTAAAACTCGAAAGTGAAATAGCACTCAGTAAACTAAATTGAACAAATTTCTTACAAAATAATTAATTTTACAAACACGACCTTAACGACATTGTTGACGTATTCAACGTTATACGTTTAAATTATAACGTTAAGTCTAGGTGCAATGTTTTGAAGTTCAAACAGCAACAAAAGAATAATAGTTCGAATTTATCTTGCAGTCTTGTTCAAGCGTTATATTGTATCCAGCACGCGCGAAGAAGACAAAGCCTTAAAATAAATCTTATTGCATTCCTTTCTCCGGCTCCGAGTTGAGCGCAATAGCCGAGTGTTAAAACCGTCTAAAGCTTATAAATATTAAACGTATATATTTGAAATAACTCGAATGTACTTTCAATTCTATTCTGTCATTTACTTAAGTACCACTTAGTGTAAGATTAAAAAAATAATATTAGAATTTGAAAAATTAGTTCACCTTTGTGAAGTTAACCTTATCTGTCTTGTTTCTTCTTCTTGCCTCTCCGACTAACTAAGGTTGGCGACCATTTTCTTGTTTCTTTAATAAGAATTCTAATAAATATCGAATTTAATTGATTCCAAAATCTCGACCGGACTTATATTGAAGCTATTCATATTGTAAGCGAATATTTTCTGGCTCTTCTGGGGAGTTAGAACATAGTGCATTCGCTTCGAAGCGATTCCATAGCGAACTTCAAGATGATATGGAACTCACGCGCGTTAATCACGTGACTTATCGAAAGTTATCGCAAGTCCATACATTTTTGAAGTTCATTATGGAATCGCTTCTGAGCGAATTCACTTTGTCTAATCCCCATGTACCTATATTGTTTTAATACAACATAGCAATAAAACTTGCCATTTTCTACAACAAATACTAGGTTGATAAAGAGAATTAATATTAGTTCCGTGTTTACATGCAGCGCGCTTGCATTAGACCGCGTGACGGTCACGAACGCGCGGTCCATGCATGACGGACAAACAGATAAAACAATCATTAATGTTTTATTTACATACTGGTCAGTAAATAGCTATTAACACGGACCAGATAAACTGTTTATCTATTGTTAATATATGAGAAAGATTAGACTCGGAATGTTGTAATTATGTTTCTCTGTTTAAAAGTTTTTAGTAGCAAAATAATGACATAACAAAATCGTATGATTGTTGTATAAACCAGCGTTACACTCCTTTTCCACTAAGAGACTAGTAGCTAGAGAAAAATGGTAATTTTATTCCAATACTCTACTTTTTTTATATCATAACGTGGCAAACGAGCGAGCGGCCACCTGAAATCGCTGAAATAGCGAAGTGACCGTTGCCCATAGACATACGCAATTGCATATGCGTTGCCTACCTTTAATCGACGGAGGAGAGGATGCACAGAAAGAAAACATTTTCCCTTTCCATGCATCCTCTCATCCGGAATGTCCACTTCCACTTCCCATCCTTTCCTTATTAGAGAAAAAGGGTGGGAAGGGAAAGAGGACTAAATTAGGCCTCCGGGACGCACACTCATCAGACGAAACGCGGAATTGCTTCCTCTTCACGCCTGTCTTCTGAGTGGTCGTGGTATTTCACCGGGCGAGCCGGGTCAATTCGTGCGAAGATGTTAAAGCGCGCTCCACCACTGTTTATATATATATTGCTATGGTATGGTAAACTAGGAAAAAATATATTGTTATTCTAAGATACAATGTTTCTGTATATTAAGATATTCGATACATATTGTAATTTCTTTGAAACTGATATTGTAATGTTGCAAATGTGTTTTCATGGACTGTGAGCAATTTTCATAATTTCATGACGTCACTCATTTATTAGAGTAGCACCGTTTTTTTCTGTATTTAAAGAGATGTTGACATTTGTTAAATCTTAGTTTTAAATCTCAATCCATTTCTTGACTGGTTAAAATGTTAAATTTAATATTTGCATTTTTGTGCGGTTGTCTTGTTGGTTTTGTAAGTTGTTTTTTTTTTAATTTTGTGTTTTTAATCATCGTTATATCGAAAAAGTGTAATTTATTAAAATAAATGAATAGAATACTAAATTTTAAATTTAATTATGATAAATATTTTTTTTATATTTTTTTCGCAGTGCCATGGCTTACCAGCCAGTGTCAGCGAGGCACACAGTGCTGCCACCCAGGAGTTACATTTGTATTTAAAAAACTCGACTAATGGATTGGACCCTCACTTTTCTCCCATCGTATCACAATTAAGAGCTGCCAATGATCAAGTCGAGGTCGGAAGAGACTCGATTCTACCGTTTTTAACATTTTTGGTAAGATTTTAAAATTTAAAATCGATTTTAAAAATCGATTTCATTCCTATCACCTCTATAGTTTGCATAGAGAACAACGCAATACAAAGTTTATGTTTACAATGTTCGCTGAGCATGCAAGGTATATTTGTTTTGCTAATACATACATAGAGTGGTAATCCGCGCATTTACACAAACTGTTCACGTTGTTGTATTAATGCTGATGTTTGAACAATACTAACGCTGCCATTTTCTATATCGAAGTTATTCACTTTAAGTTTTACTCCCATACATTGCCTTTACTTTATTCCCTCCACCTTTATCCACTCGCCATCTATAGTAGTTGTTAATAATTACTATACCTATACTTAAGACGATTTAAGAAACGAGAAATATTTAAAAATTAGCTATTGCCGCGACTCCGTCCACGCAGAAACAAATAAAATTTAATTAGTCGCCTATGTGTTTTTCCAGAATATGCTCTACATTTATACCAAATTTCCGCGGGATCCATTCAACCGTTGTGGGGATACCTACAAACAAACATCCATAAATCAATACAAACATTCGCATTTATAATATTAGTAAGTTGTAAGAAGTAACATAACTTTGGTACATTTCAGTTTGATACTCTGGGCTTGGTTGATAACGAAATCGACGATTGTATAGATGATATGATGATTGAATTCATCCCGGATGAGCCGACTGATCCTGGTTATCCTACAGCGCCTCCTGTGGTCACAGAAACACTGGAAACAGCCGCACCTCCTGTTGTTCCCGCACCGGTAGTACCAGATGTACCCATAGCTCCGGCCGACGCAGTTAAAACTGATCCTCCAAAATAATTAAATAGAAGCACAAGGCTATGTAAACTATTTATATAAAGTTGGTTATCTTCTAAGTAGATATAGTAAAATTATTATACAAATAATTTAAATTGTTTTATTAATATCTCCATGTGCAATATTAAAAGATTGGTACCTTTTTTAACACTTTTTTATATCATAAGGTGGCAAACGAGCGAGCGGCCACCTGAAATCGCTGAAATAGCGAAGTGACCGTTGCCCATAGACATACGCAATTGCATATGCGTTGCCTACCTATAATTGACGGAGGAGAGGATGCACAGAAAGAAAATATTTTTCCCTTCCATGTATCCACTCATCCGGAAAGTCCACTTCCACTTTCCATCCTTTCCTTATGAGAAAAAGGGTGGGAAGGGAAAGAGGACTAAATTAGGCCTCCGGGACGCACACTCATCAGACAAAACGCGGAATTGCTTCCACTTCACGCCTGTCTTCTGTGTGGTCGTGGTATTTGATTTGGCGAGCCGGGCCAATTCGTGAGTAGATCTTAAAGCGGGCTCTACCACTTTTAAAATAGCGTTGATGAGATTTAATTTTATTTAAATTACTTACTGTCACACACAGAATCTTCAATTAGTCACTAAAATCCACCTTTAGTGTAGATTTAATTGTAGACAGAACCACAAAATATAGATGTAAGCCATAATTATAATAAATCACGTAATTGGCGGCGGATACCCTATTAGACGTAGTATCGTTTAATTAATTTAATTTGTGTAGAAGTTTGTAACACGTGGTCTTTCTCTTTGCTCACCGACGTGAGCTCCACTTGACTACAAATTGGTCTAAACGATACTAATCTAACTATATGAGGTAAAGAGCAATATTCTAACAAACTTAAAGGTTATGTTTGGAACATGTCGAAACTGCTTAATTGGTCTACTTGACGAGTTTGCATTCATGTCATGTCTTTAATGAAGATTTGATTTGAAATTCAAATTTGAAAATTTCACAAAAATTGCGGAGAAGACTTTTGTGATTCTAGTTTTTCGAGAAAAAAGGTGTATTGATTTTATTCCCGAAATTTAAGCTTCGATATTAGCCGTCGAATTTTACTGTAATTAATCGTGTTAAATATACATAATTTATGTTTCATATTAACAAATATAATTATGCATTGAAATTACAATAATTATTAGAGAACTTGTCATGCTTCATATTGCAAATCCCCCTTTAAGAGTCTTACATCTTCTATACACCAGTATTTTAACAGGAAACTATAAAGAAAACGTTTTGAGACTGAAGTAGATTTACTTAAGCCCTAATTCACACGGACGTTTTTTACCGCGACGTTAAATCTCGTTGTTGACGGCTTTCGAGCGACGAACGCTTTATAACCTTTATTTCGCCCAGTACCGATTTTAAAAACATACACGGATGTGCATTTGTTCTATTTGAACGTTTTTTGACGCGCGTCAAAAAAAACGCCCGTACGAATAGATGCTAAAGGTTCCATTTTAAGTATTTGCGATGTATACAATGGTCAGAGTAAACAATGTTTTCTATATATAATAGTACTGCCACCAGATTGAAAACATGTACGATTAGCAATAAAACTTACTGAAAATGATAAAAACATTTTTTGTTTTGTGCATTTTAATTATGATTGAAAATGTAAGTATGGAACTAGTTAAGTTATTTAGGTGAAATTTCCAAAGCGGACAGTCCAGACAACTTGATATCGCAGGATTATTTTGTTACTTCTCCTACAAAGTATTAACGAGCTAATTAATTTGAAATGAGTAAACTTATGTTGCTTTAATTGTTCGAAATTTGAATGAGATTCCATAGTATCCAATTAATATATTTTTAATCGTTTAAATTAACGCTGGACTGTACCTGATTTTAAGTAGTCGAATTGTCGTAAATGCTTATTCGTCTCATTTTAAAGGCGTCAGTTATAACTGGCCGAAAACATTATATTATAGTAAAAGTAATAACAAATATTGATAATTTTATAAAATTATTAAAAAAAATAGAGCCATATAAACTATTAGATGATTTTTTTTAATAGATAAGCGCATTTGTTACAAAAGATGTGTCGCCAGCGTCCACTCGGCCAAATATCCTGGAATCATTCCAAGTGAATATTGATCAGCTTAGGGAATGCGTAGATCAAAGTTTGGCTCGGGCGGCGAGCGAGGTCAACGAGAAGCAGTTGGAGCCAATCCTGAGTGTCATCGGGGATCAACTCAATAGGATTTCTAAAGCGGTGAGTGTACTTAATGGCCTACGAAATACGTTAAAATATGCCTGCTATTACGGCATCGTTCTCCCAATTGATTGTTATGGAAATTTGATTTTTTAGGACAATTGTTTGTGTGCCTTATGTGGGGTTTTATCTTGCATCATCTTGGATGCCTAAATCAGGTCGTTTCATATGTGTGTAACACGAAATTTTGTAACAGAACAGACATATATCGCATGGTTGAAAGAAAATGAGCAACTTTTTATAACAGCTTTGTTTTGATACAACGATGTCTCTTGCCGTGTCAAAACATATTTAAACCAAACAAATTTTTTTATTTATATTTTATGAGAAAGAAAGTGTTGATAACATGTGTTTGTACAAATGTTTCGGCAGCGGAAACTTACGATAATTATCAATATGTACATTTTATTAGACTTTTTTGGACGTTTGTTGATAGCACTAAATAAGCTTTCCCCTTGGTTCAAATAAGTGTTTCATAAAACGAACTTTACTCCAACAACATTATTTGAATTTGAGTATTAATTTTACCTAATTTTATTTTTCAGTTTACCGACTTAACAGCGCCAAATTTACCACAATGAAGAATGTAAATTTAAATTAAAATGATATTTTTATTCAATGTTAATAAATAAATACATGTAAATAGGCTAGATGTTGTGATTTCAATTTTACTTAATACTAGCGGACCCGACAGACGTTGTCCTGTCTACACGTCTTTAATTTGAATAAATTAATATGAAGTTAATATTTGATGAAAATTGTGAATCTAAGCCATTCCCAGATCCCCTTGAACACACACAAAAAATTTCATCAAAATCGGTCCAGTCGTTTGAGAGAAGTTCAGTGACATACACACTCACAGAAGAATTATATATATAAAGATTGTATTATACAACAAGACAATAAATCTGTAAATAATGAATTACAATTCGCGTCCTAAATCAACTACATACAGGCATCGCTCGCTCGTTTGCCACCTTATGATAGAAAAAAAGCAATAAAAGGATGAAAATTACTTGACACTTTCATAAGATAATCCAAAACCATTTTAATATTATTAAAAGCCTCGAGCCTTAGCAACTTTTAAAAGGAATATTCATGTCAAAAGAAAGACCTTGACAAATACTTAGAATTCACTTTTAAACGTTTCAATTACGACTTTTTCTTTTGAGAGATCTTTCACATTGTTTTTTCAGTCAGTAATTTATACCATTTAATTATGCGGACCTAAATCCTAAATAGTTTCTGATATTAATATTATACGAAATTCTTAATCTTTTCTTTCACACTGTCTAAGCATCAAATTAGAATAGAATAAACATTTATTGCGACACAATAAAAGAATAAATTAAATTATGATCTTAAATACAAAAAATTAAAAACGTGGCAAAAGTTGGCCAACTGATAAAAGGACGCCCTCGGCCCTCTCTGCGCTGGTTTTCAGGAGGCCTCTTTGCCCTCACACCATTTGCACTTAGGTGGTAAGGTGACACTTATAACAAAAATTTAAAATATAGTACAAATGTTATCATTCCTTTGCTTCAAACTGGAGGTACTGATATGTCTTATAACAAGTATTAAGACAGTTAAACTCCAAATTTAAAAAGTACATACTTGAAGTTAAAGTGATCGTGATATGAATTTGCTGAAGTCTTTGAAACAAAAATTACGTACGTCCATTAAATGTAGTGGCCGGATTTTCCTCCGTCCTTTGAAACAGACGCCCTATTTCATGCAATCCTGTTGGTGACATTTGTTTGAAAAAGGTATACCAAGCGGAAATATTTGAACATCCTTTGTTAAACGTATTATGTTTTGAACAGATTTTTTTATGATTTTCAATGATAGAACATTGAAAAAAAAATGAAAATAACATTTGTAGCGACAGTTGCCAACAGCGTCTCCTTAGCGATATTAAATAAAAATAACTCACACTCATAGTCCTTAGTTTATTACTCTAGCAATCCCTGGTAGATTTCTATATCTACACTTAGGCGTAATACAAATGCGAATTTTTGTCAGAAGATATCTCCAGAACGGATGCAGCCGTTATAAATGTGAATGTTTGCACGGATGGATAGATGGAAGGATGGATGTATAGATGGTTTGTTACAAGGTAACTCTAGTAGAGCTGCATAGATCTCGCTAAATGGCATAGTTGTGGAACATAACATATAGGCTAATAGTTATTTTTTAATTCAGCACGGCGTCGAGGATAACAGCTAGTTTCTATTTTTTTTTAATATTAAGCGGCGACTTTTAAAAGTAATTAACTAATATGATAATTACTTTTGTTGATCCAAGCATTGTGCGATAATGGGCTCATATTATTACAAATCACTTGTAAACAAAAGTTGTTATAAATAAAAATGAACTTGAACATTTATTATTAGTCTGTTGTGTATCTTCAGTAAATTAGGACGTAGAATATTTTGTTAATATGAACAAAATAGCAGTTATGTTTCTCGCTGTCTGTCTCGTCAACGTGAGTACTATTTTCTTTTACTTTAAGTTTGGTGTATTCATTTCGAACTAACGACAAATTTTCCAAGTACTTACCATTGGTTTCCGAGCCCAACATCTCTGTATAGAACATATCGTCATCCTTGTCACTATCTTTGACAAAACAGAGATAGAACAATATGATTTAAATGGAGGTCTTGGTCTCAGAAACCCACGGTAAGTCTTAACAAGGGATAAATAATCCAAAATAAACAAATATTAAAGATTTGATTTTTTTAGAGGGTAACAGAATTTTAATATTTGTTGACTGTTTTCAGATTCACGCTTTTGTGAAACGTGACGCAGAACCTAGTACCACGGAGAACTATCTAGAACAAATAAAAAATCAAATTCAAGAGGTATCGAAGCGTATTAGTGGCAAAGTATCGGAGGCCTTTGATCCCGATCAAATAAAGAAAAGTTTCAGTGAAGCTATTGATAAACTTAGTAACGTGGTAAGTAGCAAACATTTCTTTTTAATATTACTCTTGATAAAGCAACGTCATGTACAGTCAGCTGCATAAATATAAAACTTAAAAAAACTTATATAAGTCTTCGGTTTTAAAATACGTATTTTTAGGAGAAAAATCCGACATTGTATTTATTACATTGCCAGTGTAACGCCGTAACACTAGCCTTATTATGTTAACGATTTTGTCCCCTCACTAATCAATCTGATACTTGAATTGGTAACAAAGACGCGCCATTCGTGTCAAAGGATTCTAACTACTAATTTCTAAAAGTATGGACGAATGCTTCAATAATGTGTTATCAAAGTAGAAAGCATACTGATGGATGCGTGTATAAATGTTTTTGAAACCAAAGGCATATACTATTTTTTGAAGCTTTGATAATGTACACATATTCATGCAGCTGACTGTACTATAATACAGTTGCCGGACTAAAATTTAATATTTTAATTACAGTTGGAGCCGAATAAAAAAAATGAAAATAAAGAACAGCAAGCATAAAGAAAACGAATAATATATAGTCTGTTACGAATCTCATTATGTACTTTTAAAATGACTAACACAGTGAGGAACTACTCCAATCAATTTAGATATGCATAGGTACAAAAATTTACATAGAGCAAAAAATGGGTATACAGTGTGTCCTAAAATTCAACGATAAAACGGTGTATAGCCAGATCGATAAATAAACGGGGAAAAATACTAAAAAAAATCCAACTCTTTTTGTTTAAAAGTTACATTAAATTTTGTAACTATTCTTATAATTTGATACCCTCCGCATATGATTAGACATGCATAGATCTTTAATATACTTTCCACTTATTGGACAGATGAGAAATCAAGTATCATATTATGTTGATGTTCCAAATATTTCTAACAATATTTAGTTCTATGTAAGTTGCCTGTTTGCATGTGTAAATTAATCGGATAAATGTTAATTTTTGTGTCAATAACATCAAGATTTGAAACAGTAACAAAAGTAAGAACTCATTGTACAACATTAATAAAATTCTTTATCCTCATTAAATTTTTATATCTCAACTCTGCATTTTATTTAGTTTGAATTCCTCGTATAATCAATCCTTAAAAATTAAAATATTAATTTTTATCACTCTTATTAAAAGCTAATATCAATTTATTTGTGGACTCATGATTAAAATCCAAAAATAACATAGGATTAAAATAAATGTTTATATCAAAATGTTATAAAGGTGTTTCAAATACTCGAATAGCTGTAGGCGTAAAATCATGGATTACAAAAGGATATATGAAAATTCATAATAATTAGATTTTATTGGTAAAATTAACATAATATTTTAGACCTTATTGCAGTTATTATGACATAAAGCAACTAGAACTGTTTTGGTATCAAATATAAAAATATATAATAAGAGTAATACAAAGATATGCCATTGCACAGGCTATTGCAAATTTAATGTAACACTAATTACTTGCGGAGTGCTAGCCCCTAATTACACCTAGTCTCTCGGAGATAAAATGATTATAGCAAGATGCATAATTATATTATGTTACTGGTTTGTAACGCGCGTTTATATAACAATTAATCTATTTATTTATAAAAGTTTATGTTTATGTTAGTTAAATTTTGGTTATTTTGTCAAAGAATTATCCTGTCAATAAAAAATAGCAAGAATCTGAATAAGTTTAATTGCGTAACTTAAAATAGCAGGCGTGAAGTAGGCTCGAGAACATTAGTTACGGTCTCGTTAGTATATTTATTTTGTTTTAATTTACAAACGAAAGTTGATTAACCGTAAATTCCGTAGTAGCACTATGGTCGATTCATTATATCAAAGTAATTGTGAACTTCCACTTTCACAACTCTAGTTTAAAACACATTCACTCAATTGTCTAACAAAAGAACATCGTTATAAGCCATCAAATTACAAACTATAATAAAACAAACAGTCGGCCGCGACTCCGTCCGCGCGGAATTAGAAAAAACATAATTAGTAATCTATGTGTTCTTCCAGACTATGCTCTACGTCTATGCCAAATTTCATTAAGATCCTTTCAGCCGTAATGTAGATACCTACAAACAAACAAGCAAACATCCATCCATCCATCCATCCATCTCAAAAAAATAATTAGTAACCTATGCTTTCTTCCATCCCATGTTCTAAATATATTCCAAATTTCAACGAGATTCATACATCAGTTCTGGAGATACCTTCAAACAAACATCCATCCAAACATTCGCATTTATAATATTAGTAATAAGTAAGATATCAAGGAAGGTGAATAACCGTTATAACATCTGTTAAAACTATTATATTATTGTTTTAGTTGACATAGTTCAGAGTTTACAATTCAGGATTAGAAATGATGACGCGATATTAAAAATATTGATTATAAATAAATTAAGATGTCAATTAGTTATTGAACAGATTTTTTTAAAACCAAAAATATTAATAAACAACAGCTAGGTAAAAAAGATAAATGCAATATTTACTCTTAACATTTGCATAATTCTTTTAATAATTTACTCTTGTCAGTAATGATAACAAAGGTCAGAGATAAGATTGACGATCGTGTCAAGTTTATGATAACATATGTACATAGAAACGTTTGAACAACTTCATACTTTTCCTGTAAATCTCATTGCAAGGTCGTGTTTCAAGAAAATTAAAATGAACAAATTAATT